ATTGACCGTCACATTATAACGCCCCCACGGCTGAAAGGGCGAGCATGTTTGGTGGGACAGGGATTCGAACCCGCGACCCTCAGATTGCGAGTCAAGCGACCTAACCACCTGGCCATGCCGGGCCCTATAGGCTTGATATAGATGTGATAGTTTTTATTTGGTTGAATAACATGACTTCAATGGTTCATTTTCTTTCGAAGATGGGATGGAAGTCTCGTACATTTTGGCTTTTATACTATGTCTCCTCACCGTTTCCATAATTATTTCCAATACTGTACTTCGCATTAGTGTACTGTACGTAAGCATTAGTGAATATATGCAATTTGTATTGGCTTTGAGAGGATTCGAGATAGATGTATAAGCACACGTAGTCCTGTTTGAATTACACATCTTAATATTGTTATATAAAGACATAGCTCTATTTAATTTACACACTACAATCCTAGTTATACAAGAAGTAGATTGACTGAGCTTATACATCATAGTCCTTGATATATATTAACATGTAGTTCAATTTAACTTAAAATCACAATTTCAGATATATAAATATTTAGTTTTATTTAACTTGCCAATCAAAGTCTTATGTACGTAAGTTTGTAGTTCCATATATTTTACCCATCACATTTCTAGTTACAGAATGTTTTTTTTCTTCTTTATCTTAAAACCACAGTCCTAGATATGTAAACATGTAATTCTGTTTATCAATCATTACAGTCCTGTATGTATAAGCTTACGGTAGATTATTTAACTTTCATACCACAGCTCGAGTGATAAAAACGATCAGCTTAGTTTAATTTGCATATTACAGTACTGTACACAAAAACATCTTTTATATACCTTATACAAGACAGTCCAAGATACATAAGAATACAGTTTACTCAATGTACGGCCCTAGATGAATGTTTAACTTAAACATCAAAGCTTCCAACATGTAAATCCGCAGTTCTATATTTAATTGAAAAAAACAACACAGGTCTCAAGTTAAAACTTCTAGTTCTGTTCAACCCGATCAACACATCTTTGATATTTAAACACGTATTTTAGTAGTCCTAGGTACACGAGTATATAGGTTTATTTAACGTAAATTTCAAAATCCCAAATATATAAACCTGTACTTCTATTTGCTTTACGTATAACGCTTTTAGAAATGTAAGCGTGTAGTTTTATTTCACTTATACATAACAGTAATTAAAATGTTGTTTTATTTTACCTGAACACCACATTTCTAGATGCATGCATATATACACGTGGTTTTAAAACCGAGCTAAATAACCTGGTTGTCCTATTTATTTCTCTCATCATAATCTTATATACGAAGAGTTAATGCTATTTAACTTACACATCACAGTCTTTGGTATGAAAATGAAAACCCATAGTTCTAGATGAGTAAACATCAAGATATATACTAAATTTATATATTACCGTCCTTGCTAAAAGTAGTTCTAACGCCCCTAGTGGCTCAACGGTAAGTCTGCGTGCTTACAACGCTAAAAACCAGGTTTCAATACCCGTGGCGGGCAATTGTGTAAGTTTGAGTTTAACAAGAAACAAACAAAAATAGCTCTAACGTGACCAGCACAACTCTAGACATACAAACATTTGAACCCTATTTACTTCATACATCACACTCCTAGATCCGTAAAT